TTCCCGTGTGATCTAAAGCCTCTTCCTGTGTGATCTCTCCCGTGTAAGCTCTTCCCGTGTGATCTAAAGCCTCGTGAAGGGTTGGCTGGAGGGTGAGCCAACCCAATGGCAGGAAGTTTCAAGTTTTGTGCCTTTTTAAAAACAGGCCCATCAACAAATGAATGGATAGAGAAGGTGTGGTATAGTCACACAATGGAATACTACTTTGCATTGAAAAACAAGGAACTCATGCAATATTATACAAAATGGGTGACCCTGGAGGACATTATGCTGAGTGAAATATCTCAGTCACAAAAGGAAAAATACTGCATAGTGCCACTGTTGTTAAACGGACTGACATCAGGGTTGGGGTAAGACTGAGAAAAACTGGATAAATTATGTATACTGCATTGAAACAGATGAGGGAGAGAATAATTTAAAAGCGATATATAATAGGGTATTATGGTTATCACAAGAGTCCAGAATTAAGGTTGCATAGTTACTCGGGGCTGTTGGAGGGGTGCGGGAGATTGTATATCAAAGAAAGAATTTTTCTTGTACTTTTAAAAGAGAGGAGCAAACTGGGAGGGGGGAGGCTGGGCAGGGAGAAAAGAGCAATAATGAATGAATGGAAATCCAATATCTCTGTAAATGTTCATTAAAATGAATAAATTTTTTTTAAAGTATAAAAAAAGGAAAAATAATAATTTAAAAAATCAACAGTCAGCAGGGTCTGTCAGTTTAACAGAGAGTACACAAAGGAACTCTCGGCCGGGCGGGCTGCCGAGTGGAGATATGCTTGACTTCCACCCCACAGGGACCATGGCTCATGCTGTTCTCCAGGAAGTTAGGCACCTCTGGTAACAGTGATGTCTGTGGGGGAGGCCTGAGGGCCTGGGCAAGGAAGCTCTGCCGTGACTCAGAGACCACCACTGGCTAGTGTTCGGCCCTTGGATAAAGCCCTTCTCAGAACCATTGTTGGCTCAAGTCATAGCAACTCTATAAAGGACAGCATGAGGCTCTGCTGGACCCTGCACCACCATCACTGGATGGACTCATCAGAGACTCAGAGTCCCTCTGCGGTCCGGGCAGATCAGATTCCGAACAGTCCTCAAGGACGCAGAGGAATTACAGGACAGAGGAGACTGCCACAACCTCTTAGTTAGTGGCCGAGCACATTAGTTAGTCCCGGTGCCACCAGGAATAGCACTGTGGGATGAGGTGTACACAAAGACTGGCTTCTTTCCTGGAAACTGCTGCCCACGTGGCTGGGGAGAAGTGCACCGTGGGAGGCCGACAGGATGAGAGACGACGGGCAGCATCTGGCCCAGAGCCAGCAGGGGACCATGATCACATCACAGTCCAGGGGCCCCAAGAAGCTGCCCCCTGTAAGCACCCATGAGTGTACCTGGACTATTCCCTAGACAGGCCTGCAGAGGGGCCAGCTACGCCCAACAGCCCGAGAAACCACCACACACATCAGGTGACCAGATTGCTGACCGCTGGAAACACAGGTCATGAACTTGTACTGTTTTATCCATGAGAGAAGTCCAGATGGTGTGCAGGTTAAGTGTCAGCCCATGAACGGGAAGGTCAGTGGTTTGGGCTCACCAGGAGCTCCGAGACAGACAGCAGTGTCCGCCCGCTAAGGTTGACAGCCTGAGCCGCCTGACGGAGGGTGGCCATGAACCGGAATCAACTGGACAGCACTGCCTTCCATTTCAGAGGAGCCTGTCACCGAACAGCAAGACGAAACCAGGACTTACCCAGGGAGGCTGCCAAGGCGAAGTTGTCCAGCATCACGTCTCGGTACAGGATTCTCTGCGTCTCGTCAAGGAGCCCCCACTCCTCCCGGGAGAAGTACACAAATACATCTTCAAAGGTCACGGAGCCCTGTGGTGACGGGACAGCTAAGGCTCACTGGGAGCTGGAAGAAAACTTGACAACAACATCTTTCAAAAGTGGACTGTGTTCTGCTGATGGTGGATTTGAAACACCCGAGACATGCTGCCTCTGGGTCAGCACTGCAACACCCGTCTAAGGAATACATCCCCAGCGCTTCCATTTATGGCTGGTGCAATGCTTAAATCATTGGCCAGTTTGTAAAATCGACCAACTCTTCCTTTTCAGAAAATAATAATGATAATAATAATAATAATAATAGATTGTGAGAGCTTGCTTCCAATATTCCTGTGAATGGATCTGAATCTGAACCACTAAGCTTCTGATCAGTAACCAAGGACTTAACCATTTTCACTACCCAGGGAATTAAATTTCAGTAACACCCCTCCTGGTTTCAACTCACCATTCCCCCAAACTCCTCATGCAGGCCACCTTCTGGACGTCTCCAAGCTGATACCCTTCTCAGAACTCTCCACCTGTCTCCCCAGGTGAGGAAGAAGAAAGTCTCTGGAACATCTCAGACTAACATGGCCCAGCCCTGACTCCCAACAGCATCACCGAGAGCTCCAACCACCGACTTCTTTCACGCTGTTCACAGCAGACCCATCAGTCTATCAGCCAAAAGCAAAAAAGCTCAGGTCCTTCCCTTTCTCTCTTCCTCCCCTTTTCCTTTCCTTCTTTTTCTCTTTCTTCTTCCCCTCCCTCACCTTTAGCTTTTCTCTTTCTTATGGCCACCCCTTACATTAGAAAATCCAGCCACCCTACTTAAAAATCAGACCCCAAAGCCATCTAACTTTTTCCACTCGCTCACAGGCACTAGCAGCACTTGTGGGCCTCCTGCAGTCACCTCCATCGTTAAGACCTGAGTCAGAGCCGCTGTCTCCTCTGACCCTCTGTCTCCCGAGCCTTTCATTGCCCTTCAACAGAGACTGCTCAGACCTGATTCCGGCACCCCTGCTCTCTCCTCCCAGGAAACATGATTAAGACCTGTAGCTCTCTGACTATTTCCAACTCTTGCCTCCATGTGTACATGCCCGCTTCTCTCCATCTCGTTGGTTTCCACAAAAGGAAACCCCTCCTGGCCTCAATGCAGGACTCTGCTCCCAGACCTCAGCTCAGGGAGAGTTAAAAAGTGTTCTAGGTCAACACAAGATGTAACCTGGAATCCTGGCAGGTGCCTCTTAAGAAATATACAAAACCCATCCACTTTTCTAAGCCCCTCGGCTACTAATGTGGTTCGTCCACCACCGACACTGACTTGGGCCCGTTCAGTGGACTCTCTCCTGGTCTTCTGCCAACGCTTCCCTCCCTCCTTCCCTAATCTTGTCTCCACTGTGTAGCCAGGAGCGACTCACACCACCTTCTTTCTTTGTTGCAAACCTTCCCGTGGCCACACAGTCCTCCAAAACCCACCATTTCAGACCGACTCCTGGCCTTGGCTCTTTCCACTACCACAGGACGCCAGAGAGACCTGAGGATCCCCTATCCCAACTCGACTCCGAAGGGTTTTGTCCAAGCTGGACCGTTCGAGATCCCACTGACCGCTGTGAACTGGAAACTGTCCCTACTGGCCCCGGGAGAGTGACCGCCCTCCACGAGGGCACCGTTCCACACAAGTCGGCGAGCAGTGAAAGCGAGGCGCCCTGTGTCCAGGGGAGATCGGGGATCGGGCAGGACCCTGGTGATGCGGTGGGTTCAGCACGGGGTCGCGAACTCTGTAAACACAGCCGCCTCGTCTCGGAAGGGGTTCGGGGCCATTCTACTCCGTCCTACACGGGGGCCTCCAGGAGTGGGAGAGGACCCTGGGGCAGGAGGCTTGGGAGAGGCCCAGGGGGCTCCGGAGAGGAGGGCAGCAGACGCCCCCCACTCACCTGAGCCCGGTCCCACCGCGCGGCCGCCGCCATGGCCTCCAGCAGGCAGGACCGAGTGGTGAGCGGCGGGCAAAGACCACGCTGACCACCCCCCTCCCCAACTGGGCTGCGCGGCCAGGCTCCCCGCGGGAAGCGGCGGGGCTCAGGAGATCGTCCTCGGCGGACCGAGAGGAAGGTGCGAAAGCCCGGGAGCTCAGGGCGACAGGACTCAGCACAGATGACCAGCGCGACCAGGGACCCAGCGGCCAGCGCTGACAGTCGGCGCTGACAGTCGGCGTAGGCCAATCACGTATGACTGTGACACAGAAGTCCCGCCCCCAACACGAGAACAGCCCGTATTCTGCGCCGTCACTGGCCCGATGCGCAGACACAGGCTTCTGGGTAACGTAGTCTGTGTGTCACAGCCAACCAGACATCGGGAAGGGCTCGCGTTATCCATGGCAACGCA